GGAGAGGTGGGGGATTAAGAAGAACAGGGGGTGGGGGATTAAGAAGAAGAAGGAGGAGGGGGAATTAAGAAGAAGGGGGGATTAAGAAGAAGGGGAGGGGAATTAAGAAGGGGAAGGGGGAATTAAGAAGAAGGGGGAGGGAGGGGAATTAAGAAGAAGGGGGGATTAAGAAGGAGGGGGGGAATTAAGAAGAAGGGGAGGGGTGGGGGGATTAAGAAGAAGGGGGGAGGGATTAAGAAGAAGGGGGGAGGGATTAGAAGAAGGGGGAGAGGTGCAGGGATTAAGAAGAACAGGGGGGTGGGGAGATTAAGAAGAACAGGGGGGTTGGGGGAATTAAGAAGAACGGGGGGATTAAGAAGAATGGGGGGTTAAGAAGAACAGGGGGAGTAAGAAGAACACAGAGAGGAGGGGGAAGAGTAAGAAGGACACAGGGAGGAGGGGAGAGAAGGGGAGATGAGGAGAACACAGGGAGGGGGAGGTGAGAAGAACACAGGGAGGGTGGGGGAGTGAGAAGAACACAGGGAGGGTGGAGGGAGTGAGTAGAACACATGGGGGGAGGTGAGGAGAACACATGGGGGGGAGTGAGAAGAACACAGGGAGGGAGGGGGCTGAAAAGAATACCGTAGGTTTGGGGGAGGGGGGATGAGAAGAGCACAGGGAGGGTGGGTGTGAGAAGTGACTGCTAGGGAATGGGGGGGGGAGAGACCACTAAGGGGCAGGGGAGAGCTCTATAGGACAGGGGGCAGGACAGGGAGCTCTTTCACACTACGCGCACACACACACAATGCATCCCTATACATACACAAACACACAATGCATCCCTACACATACAGAAACACAACATGCTTCCCTTACACACAGAGAAACACACAATGCATCCATTACACACAAAGACAATGCATCCTTTGCACACATACACAGAAACACAAAATGCAAACTCTTCCACACACATGCAAACACACACACTGCTTCTCTTACATATACACAGAAACACAATGCATTTCATACACACACTCAATGCACACACTACAGACACACACCTTGCATCCCTTATGCATACAAACACAGATTCACACAATACATCGCTTATACACAAACACTGCCTCCACTACAAATACACTGCATCACCTACACAAACTGGTATCCCTATACACTACATACCATAAGCACACACATTAGATCCTCTACAATAACACATAACACATCCCCTACACACTCCACTCCCTGTGAGTGAACTCATGGGTGGAACATGTAGGTGGACTTTTAGGTGGGCCTTATGGGCATACTAACTGTCATGCCCTGGGACCCAGACCTTGAGTTGTTTAAGGGGCCCCAAAAAAATGGAGCTGCTTCCCATTCTACTAGAACTTTGAATTTTGTGACCACAGTTACAAACAGCCTTCAGAGATCCTCGTCTACACCAGACCAGGGGAGCCAAACCGCAGCCCATCGTCATCCTCATCTGGTTATAAGTAGGCAATCTAGTATATTATTAGTGACACTAATCTATAATTTACCTCACATTAAAGGGACACTATAGCTTAATGAAGTGGTTCTGGTGTTTATAGCCTGTCCCTGCAGGCTTTTTAATGTAAACACACACTGTGTGCAGCTTTGGCATTAGTTCATATGGCAGATTATATAGGTGGGGCATTGTGATGTCACATGGGGGGGCAGCTAATTTTTCCTTTGCCTAGGGCAGCAAAAATCCTTGCACCGGCTCTGATCCTGGGCAGGTGCACCAGTCTACTGGTGACCCACAGGAGGGGATTGCACTGCACTCTCCTCCTGCCCAGACCTGTCTTTACCGCAGTGCAAGTGCCCTCTGCCCCTAATTTACAGTGGCTCACACTCACAGCAAGCAGTGCCTGGAGCCCTTTTCAGCGATGGGAACTAAGAGGTTCTGTGGCAGGTGGCCGTCCTGCAAGCATTACATTAAGCAGCTGTTCCCCATGCAGCCACAGGTGGCGCTGTGCTGGGAGAATGTGATAACTCTTCACTTCCTCCCAGCCTACAGCGCAGCGCATGGGAGAGGGAGAGGAGGAGGCATGATTTAATCTTACATAAATCCATTAAGCAAATCTTTGGGTGGATCAGCTCTGTTTGCACAGTGTTGGCTTCCTCCTCCTCCACCTCCACCGCTGCTTCCACCTACACTGCCACGGTCACCGCCTCCTCAACCTATGGGTCACTTAGTATACTCAGTTTACTCTGATGTCTGTATTAATATTGAGGGATTTCTAAGTAGTAACATCAGTATGAGTCAGCAGGGCCAGCCGTTGGGGTGTGCAAGCTGTGCGGTCACGCAGGGTGCCATGACAACAGAGGCGCCCGGCGGCCAACACAGCTCACAATTTGGGGACCCCAGCATATTCAATTTAAATGATTCGCTGGTGGTCCACTGGTGCGCACCAGCAGTAGGTGCAGTCAGATTATATCCTCTCCCTCATGGTTCTGGCGCTCAGTTAGTGAGTCAGAGCACAGGCTCAGAGATTCTCAGCCTGCGCTCTGACAACATTGAAAGTCAGAGCTGTGAAGGAGCGGGTATGGCAAAGAGCTACTGATTAGCATAACATCAATACACGTTATAAAACCAGGTGGGCATGGATGGTGATTTGGTGGTGCAATGGGCCACTTGACTGGTTTTGCCCCCCAGGCCTAAGGCTGCCAGCCCTCCCCTGGCCAGCACCGAGGGACATTGGCACTGGATCCAGGTAAGTGACAGAAGAGGTTATTAACCCCCTTCTGCACCACGGTGGTGGGCCTTGACATAAGGGGAAGCTATAGTGCCAGGAAAACTAGTTTGTTTTTTCTGGCACTATAGTTTACCTTTAAGAAACAAAAGAAAAACTAATTATTTTCTGTGTGTATCTAACTTGAGAACTAGATTGCTGAATGCATGGTCTAGAGGTCTTACATAATATCAGATTCTTTCTTCATGTCCAACTGCAATGGGTAGCTGTTGGTCATTTGTAAAACATGATTTAGGTGATCAGTAGACTAAAAGAATGTGTATGTACAGGAAGTTATTGAAATATTCTCTTGAGGCACAGTGCAGGAAGCACCTGATATTTTTTTTCTAGAGGGAAAGACAGAAAACGGGAAAGCTGCTCGAAACTTAAAGCGTCTCTGTCTTCCCCATATCAAAAATGAGAAATTCATAAAGTTAAAAATCTTTATGAAATACTCAGATTAACAGTGTTGGAATTTCCGGAAATTCCAACCCATTTAAAAGATGTCACCATTTGGGATCGCAAGACTACCAGAAGCAAGGATGAAATTCCAAGTGAAAATATGGTTTGCTATCTATAAATTGTACAGCCTCGTCAAGAATCACCTGAGTAAACAAACCTTTATATGCACATCCAATGTGCTATGCCTTGCGTTTTAGACAAATACTCTTTATTCATATATTAAAAAAAAAAAAAAAAAAAAACGGCATATAAAAGGGTGCTCGTACGAATGTTGAGGTTGAATTCTGGAATGTACCAATTCACATGAACACAAGTAGCCTTTGACACACCAAGAAATTGGTTTGTGTTTTTTCCTCAGTCATGTAGTTGAATTTCTGGTTTCTGACCTTTCCCGATGCAGGCATGAAAAAGTAAGAATCTTTCAAAACATTAAGCAGTGAACAAATCATTTACTTCAGTAAATTCAGTGCAATCTTAAACATTATGGGCCCCCTGGGGCACTGCCTACACACAAATCACAGGAATAAAAATGTAAATGTATAGATAGATAAAATTAAGCTTGTATTTATTAGTGCCTCCAACAAATTCAATACACTCATACAACACACACACACATTGCTGAATACAGTCACAGGCTGCTGAACAGATTCACACACTGCTGAATACATACACAGTCCACTGAATACACACACATACTGCATTGAGGTGTGGAGTGTGTGAGTATACAGGTGCGGTGTGTGTGGGGGGTCAGGGACGTATTAGCCGGGAGGCAAACAAGGCATTTGCCTTGGGTGGCATTTTTCAGGGGCCGGCAAAAAACGCCGCCCCCAAATGCCCAGGGCAAATGCCTAGTTAGCCTCGCAGCTAACAGACATGCCGAGCAGGCGGCTGGCGCTGGCAAGGGAGCACTTCCTCTGAGCCGCAGAGTGAGGCTGGGAGCCGGAAGAGGACGTCATATTCCGGCTCCCAGCCTCACTCTGCGGCGCGCGAGTGAGCTGAGCAGTCAGCTCAGAGGAAGTGCTCCTGGCTGCAGTGCCGCCCGCACAGCAGCCAGCGCCGCCCAGCCCGACCGGCAGCCACTGGACCACCAGGGAGAGAGAGAGCGCCCCCCCCCCCCAGCCCTCACAAAGGTAAGGGGGGGGGGGATTAAAAAAAAAGTTAATGTGTGTGTGTGTGTGTGTGTCTGACTGTGTGTCTGTGTGTCTGTGTCTGACTGTGTATTTAGAAGGTGGGGCGGGGGGGAGGGGGGCGTCTGAGTTTTGTCCTGCCTAGGGCAGCACAAAACCAGGATACACCACTGCAAAAGTGCAACTGAAGCAATGATGGGATTTTATCAGCACAGCCGGTTTCTGATGATTCCTGGTTAGAACCAGAATTACAAAATACCAGCTATACATATTCTGTTATTTTTCTATTTTTTTTTTTTGCTGGGTCATGGTCTGAGAATAGTGTCCAGTCTGAGGATCTAAAACAATCCAATGCTTCCCCAAATGGAAGCATTGAGAGGCTAGTGTGCATAGGTAACCTCTAGCGACTGTCAGGAAGAATCTACTAAATGACAATGTTTTACATGGCAGGATTAAAACTAAAGGGCCACTGCACCAAGAACAAATCATTGAGAGGAAGTGGTCTGGGTGCCTTCGGTGATACCATACTTTTTTTGTATTTTAGTCATAGGCTTGCGCACGGGGTGGAGCCGGGGAGCTCTAGCCAGCAGCTCCGCTGGGTTCCTCTCGCGAGGTCGGAGTGTTGCTGCGGCAACGCTCCGATCTTGCGAGAGTGAAACCGTGCAGGGCTAGAGTTGACTGACTGTGTGTGTGTGTGTGTTTGTGTGTGTGTATGTATTATACACACACACACACACACACACACACACACAGTATATACTCTAGTATAAGTTGACCCGAATATAAGTCGAGACCCCTAATTTTACCCCAAAAAACTGGGAAAACTTATTGACTCGAGTATAAGACTAGGGTGGGAAATGCAGCAGCTACTAGTAAATCTCTAAATAAAATTAGATCCCAAAAAATTATATGAATTGAATATTTATTTACAGTGTGTGTCTATGAATGCAGTGTGTGTATGTGATGCAGAGCCAGGGCCGTCTTTAACAAGGGGCAAACGGGGCAACTGCCCCGGGCCCGGTTGCTCCTGGGGGGCCCAAAGCAGCTGCCCTGTGGGCCCCCTGCCCGCAGCCAGGTCTGAACAGCCCACCAGGATACTGAGAAATATCCCGGTGGGCTGCAGCAGGTGATTTAATCAGGGGCCCCGGCCCTTTAAGAGAGCTGCTGACCGAGCCCCTGTCTTCCTGCCTGCTGGGAGGAAGTGTTGTGAGGTCACTTCCTCCCAATTAACAGAGTGCCGCTGGGGAGGAGGAGGCATACATGGAGAGCAGGAGGAGGTACAGACCAAGAAGAAGACTCCCATCAATCTCAGCCATCCAGCTCCCACTGGACCACAGGGAAGCCACACTTCTGTAAAGGTAAGGAGGGTGGCTAAACTATGTGAATTCATATGACTCTCTCTGTGTGTGTGTGTGTGTGTGTGTGTGTATATGTGTATCTGTATCTGACTGTGTGTGTGTGTATCTGACTGTGTGTGTGTGTATCTGACTGTGTGTGTGTGTATCTGACTGTGTGTGTGTGTGTATCTGAGTGTGTGTGTGTATCTGACTGTGTGTGTATCTGACTGTGTGTGTATCTGACTGTGTATCTGTATCTGACTGTGTATCTGTATCTGACTGTGTATCTGTATCTGTCTGTGTGTGTATCTGTATCTGACTGTATGTGTGTATGTGTATATCTGACTGTGCGTGTTTGTGTCTGTGTGTGTATCTGACTGTCTGGCTGTGTGTGTGTGTGTGTGTGTGTGTGTATGTATGTATCTGGCTGTATGTGTGTATATCTGACTGTGTGTGTGTGTGTGTGTGTGTATATATATCTGTGTGTGTGTGTGTGTGTATATATCTG